CCTGTATGTTACCTGTACCCCTGTATGTTACCTGTACCCCTGTATGTTACCTGTACCCCTGTATGTTACCTGTACCCCTGTATGTTACCTGTACCTCCTGTATGTTACCTGTACCCCTGTAGGTTACGGTCTGAGGAAATCGTCCAAATGCTTTTTGAATGATTCAACACTCAGCTGAAATAACTGCTTGCGGCAGCGAGTTCCAGACCCTGACCGCTCTAATTGAGAAGAACCCCACCCCCCAAGTTGAGTTTGTTAGAACTTTTCTAGATATTTTCACCATTCCCTACTAAGATTTGTCTAAAGATTCACCTTAAGACCCCTAGTTTCTCGGTGAGATGGGACAGACTGGATACGTTTGACCATCTAGCTGATGTTTTGCAGTCTGGCTGGCAGTAGAATTCATGGAAGAGGACACGGTGATTTATTAAATGCTTTCATATTTTAATATGTTCTTCTACCCATAGGGAGTGATTGACCTGGACGGTGTCGGCAGGAAGGGGTACAACGTCCCCAGCACAGGAACTATACAAGTGGTAAGTCCATGGTTATTAGAGCTTCACCGCAGACGGTGATGGCAGATACATTGATACCTAAAGCTTAACATGCTTAAAAGTAGGGATGCAACGATATCAATACTAGTACTCATACTCGCCCAAATGCTCCCGATGCCTAGCCCGATACTTCCTGAATCAGGCTGCTGGGCGCTGCGTCATTACACTCTGCCCGGCTTCCTGATGGGCGGGGAAGCCAGCTCCATGCTCCCTCCTCACTTGTGACGAGAGAGCATGGAGCCGGCTTCCCGGCCCATCAGGAATCCAGGCAGAGTGTAATGACGCAGCGCCCAGCAGCCTGATTGGCCGGGAAGCCGGCTTCATGCTCCCTTATCACCTCATGACATTGGAGCCGGCGTCCCGGCCAACCAAGAAGCCGGGCATCGCATAATTACACGGCGCCCATTACACGGCGCCCAGCTTCCTGATTGGTGGGGGAAGCCGGACTGCATGCTCTCTCATCACATAGTGACAAGAAGCATGGGGACGGCTTCCCTGCTAATCAGAAAGCCGGGTGGCGAGTCATTACACGCCGCCTGGCTTCCTGAACGGGACTTTTCCGGTATTGGTATTTGGTATCGGTAAATATCAGTACTCGATACTGAAATACCGGTATCGGTGCAGCCCTACTGAAAAGTATCAACACTTAATGTATCTAGACCCCAAACATGTAATATATTGCAGCTCGCCAGTTATTGGAGCTGCAGGTTTCTTTTTCAGGTTTTTTATTTTTCTCCTTTATTTTCACCAGGTGATCCTGCCAGTAACAGACGTTCTGTCCTAGGGTGACACTGCTCACTGCACCCTATTGTATCAATGCAGCAGCTGTGTTGTCACCCTGAGTTGTTCTCCTGATTTGGAATTAATGTCGTCCCCGTCAACAGGGGGGCGGACAGTGGTAGTAGTTTAATTCAGCAAAATAAGACCTAAAATGTCCGATTTCCTCAAACTACACAAACTGTACAGCTGGAAGCCCCATTGCTTGTCCCGTGTAGTCTCCCCTGCAGTACTGATGTTGAACAGATGGTGGCAGTGTCTCCTAATTAATTCGCAGGCTGTATGTATTACGGGAACGCCGTCTGTATTCTGATGATAGAAGGACGCAGCTGAGCACCAAACTCATCACATAATCTAATTACTGTCTAATGAAATGGAAAAAAAACTTTATTGAAAGAACATTTTACTGTTTGGGCAGATGAATCACTTGGCGAGTATCGGGATTCGGTAACGGCTCTGCGAATCATTTCTGAAATCCCGCGTTTAATTAGTCAATGCGTCTCTTGTGTGGAAGTGTGTTTTGCTAAAAAGCTGACAACCTAAAGAGAACCTGTCAATTAAAGAAGAACTCTTAACTATGCAAGAAGTTAACCCTTGCAGGGGTGGGGGGCTACCACAGCACTGCTAGACCGGTCCCCGCAGGGCCATCTCCCTCTGCTGATGTCTATTACAGCCCATTCACTTGCATTAGATGCGAGGACACCGAGAGACATACCACAGCCTGAGCGAGAGGTAAGCACTTGCCACCGCAGGAACGAGAATCAGGTGACCATATCTTCTTTATTCCAGCTCCTAGAGGAAAACGAGCAGTTAACCCTTGCAGTGCTGGGCTAGCCCCACGACAAGGGTTAACTTTTTGCGTAGCTGGAGTTCTTCTTTAAAGCGTGTGTGTCCAGATAAAAATGTGGGTGGAAGGGTAAGGATCCTGGACGGGTTTTTACTGATCTCTGGGGCTCTTTTTTTTTTTGGGGGGGAAAGATTTACCTTTTCTTTTTTACCTTCACTTCCTGTCCTGCTGACAACGTTTTGCAACGATGAAAATAATTTATATATACAGAATTGCCAATGGTCAATCCAATTCCATTTCAACATTGGCCCTGGTGAATCTGTACTCGCCCGCTAAATCCCGCTTGCAAAGGTCAGAAGCGCTTCTCATTGGTCAGCCTGGTCAGTGTACCTGCTGCATGGCTCTTGTAGTTCCCCAACAGCTGCTGCTGCTCCGCTTGTCCTTTTTAGATGCGCGCGCACACACACTCACACCTTGTCATCTGCCCTCCTCTTCCGCAGACCTTATTTAACCCGAACAAGACGGTGGTGAAGATGTTTCTCGTCACGTACGATTTCAAGGACATGCCAGCGAACCACGTCACCTTCCTGCGCCATCGCATCTTCTTAGTGCCTGTGCAGGAGAACGAGGAACAGGAGGGCGCCAGGGGCGGAGCTGCTACGGAGAAAGCCAAGAGGATCCTCTGCTACCTCATGCACCTGAGGTCCAGACATGACACGGCATTTATTATTTATTTATTTTTAGGGTGGGGCCAAAACCATTGACAGATTTTTATTGCCGAGTCCAAAAAGATTTTGCAAGGGTGCTTCCAACAATGGTGATCAGGGATAAAGAATTGCCAATGGTCTGCCCAATGATTGGCTGGGAAGCCGGCTCCTTACTCCCTCATCACCAAGTGACGAGGGAGCATGGAGCCGGCTTCCTGGCCAATCAGGAAGCCAAAAGGGTGCAAGTCATTACCCGCCCCCCGCCTCCCTGATTGGCTGGGAAGCCAGCTCCATGCTCCCTGGCAATGGAGCATGGACTGGGTTCCCAGCCAATCGGGAAGCGATGCGGCGTGTAATGACTCTCCGGCTGGCTTCCTTAACCAGACGTTCCGGTATCGGGATAAGCATTGGGGGCGTTTGGGCAAGTACGAGTGCTCACCCACATGCTCGGTATCCACACCGATACCTATACTACTATCCATATCGGTACATCCCTAGTTTTAATATTTCCAAGTTTGGTTTTTAATGCCCAATTCAATATAAATGATGCAGACGCGTTTAAAGTGCGTCAAGTCCGACCATTGCTTTTTTTTTTTTTCTGCAGCAAAGGATGCTAGCCCTCTGTCTGTCTCTGAAGAGGTCTGACACGCCCACTGCGGAGTCAGAGCTCTTCAGTCAGCAATGGCATATACGTTTTGCTAATTGGGAGCTATGCATGTGACTCCGCATAGGGCATGTCAGACTGCTGCAGAGAGACCACTGCTTGCACACACAGAATAAGTGTCCTTCTGTAAGATGCCACTAGATGTCGCCAGTGTTCTGGCTGGAATAATACCTAGCCTATTCAACCCACTTTGTCAGCTTAGGGTTTCAAAGACCCACCCCCTGGGGGCGGGAGAGGGGGGAAATGGTCATCAGAAAGCCAAGGGCTCTCCCACCCACTGGACCACACACAGACACTAATCTGCATGCTAAAAACGCAGCATTTTAGCACGCGGTCCAGTGTGAATGAGCCCCAAGATGATCATCTTATAATGAACCTGCACTCTAAGAATCCATGAAGGGCAAACCAACAAGTTCACTTTAGGCCTGGTTCACACCTGGGCGTTGTACAGCGAGCTCCGAAGCTCTGTAAAACGCTCAACACGTGAAAACCAATGATTGCCTATGGGCATGGTCCCCACCTGGGCGTTTTACAGGAGCTTCTTTGGGGCGTATTTGCCACGCGTATCCATCAGGATACAGCCGGAAACACGCGTTTGGCGCACATTTTTTTTACCGCGAATTGCGGTAAAAACGCGCGGCAAACGCCTAGGTGTGAACCCAGTCTTAATGCCGGCCAACCAGCTGCACATACTCCTAATCTTCACACTCATGCCAGGAGTAAGACTTGTGAGCCTTGTGTAAGCGGCAGATTGTAAGTTGGCTTA